ATTCCAACGGGGAATCTGCACATGCAGCCGCAGGAAAAGCCACCTTGGTGTAACACTACGTCTGCACCGCCAAGCCGAAATCCAGAATGGACGGGAATTCATTCCGGATCCCCCACTCCGCACGGGATAACCATGCGGAAAGGGAGCTGCCCCTGTCCCCGCGCGGCTCCGGCCCAGCAGCTGCAACACGGCGGCCCGTGTCCCTGCACAGGGCAGGGGACGGACCCGCAGGTACCCCCGGCAGCGCCAACACCAGGACACGCCGCCACGCAGCCCTCGTTAGGAGCTCAGGCAAATCCACGCTCATTAACACACCAATTATCGCACGGGATCGTTCTACCACTGCTCCAGTTGCTTCCCCCGGCACGGAGCCCGTGCCTTAGATCCGGGAGCTGCTCGTTTTCACGGCAAACGGGAAGCAGCAGCATGTGAAGTCCCCGCTCTTGGCGGGAGGGTTTTAGCAATAAGTAGCAGCTTTATGAGGAGTATCCTTTGCCAGGGGACCATCAGCCAAGGAGCAACGGGATTCTTATTTTCTAATGTACTTTTAATAAGTAGGCCACGATGATCATCTTGACACCACAGCAGCTTTATTTCTACTCATAATTATCTCCACCTCTCTTCTCGCTAGCTCCCTGCAGCCTCCGGGAGCAAATCAGACCACCAGCCTCTCCGCGACAAAACGAGTGGGGAAGCGGCGTCGGCGCAACCTGTGTCCTGCCCTCCTCCAAACCCAGCCCCGCTCGTGGAACTGAGCTGCTTTAACCCATCCCAGCAGGAAGGGCCAGGCCGGCGCGGGGATTGGAGCGGGGCCTCCCCCAAAACTGCACCGCGCATCACCCCCCGTTCGCAAGGGCTCAGGGAGCCTCGGGCACGGCCTTGTTTGTGCCCAGACCCTCAGTTCAAGAGCTCCAGACGGGCACATCACCCCCGGGCACGGCCACGCTCGGCAGAGCGGCACCGCACGCGCACGGGGTGGCACGTGTCCCCGGCGGGCGTGCGGGACAACTATCCTGGCCACGGGAGCACGCGCTGTCCCGCCCCGCTCCAGAATCAGGGACCCAGCCTTCCAAAATCAGCAGTGTCCTGAGCTCCACCAGAGGTGGAACCCACCCACCTCGGAGCCCGCGGTCCCTGCGCCGCACTGATTTACGGATATCACTGTCCCTGCGTGGAAAAGCTCTCCTGGGGCTTACATTGGTCCATGCAGGAGGCAGCAGAGGAGGTAGCCGTGAAGGACCAGCTAGGTGCAGAGCAAGACGGCAAACTGTCCCTCTCCCTCCAGCCACACTTGTTACTTGTTCAACTTAACGTCAAAACCAGATTTAGCTGTGCTAAATGTCTCCACTGCTAACAAGAAACAAATGCGGCCTCATGTTCTAGTTGCTGTGATCTAACAAAACAGACCATGGTAAACACTGTAAAAATGTACTGGAGGGAACCACCCTGTGTTTGCTGGGAGAGGGACTGCATAATCTAATAGGGTTTTATCCATCTCCCATGTCTCTGAAAATAAGAAGGGAAAATTGGGCCCCGTCCATGACATTCGTCATGTGCTAACTATTCTCATGTCTTAATGCTGCAGAAATCGAATTGGAGCAAGGCTACCTATCTCCCTTCCAATCAGGCTCTAGACCCAAGTGCTGCTTTTTATGGCCATGGAGCATGAGGAACTGCTTATGTCAGTGGTGCTACGGGACAGGCCAGTTTTTCCATTCCTGTCCCCACGTTATCTGGGGAGATACTCCCTTTGCAGTCATCTCACTCTCCTCAACGAGTGAGCAGCCGTTCAATTCACCGAGCTGGGGACGCACCAGTGGCATCTTCCTCTTGTCTTACGCATCTCATAGAGGCTCGGACCTCCCTAGGTCCTAGGATCCAAGGATCCTAGGATCACCTTGAGAGATCAGCAACAACAGTGGCGTGGTAACAACTCCATATCTAGGTCGCACAACAGCAAGGGGTGATTCAGTCACCTACCCCCAGGCACCTCGTGTTGTCTGAGGTCTTCTAGGTACCTCTCCAAGCCTTCTGCTGGCCCAACAGAGACAGACAACCCGGCTTTCCGCACTCACTGCACTCCCATTTTCAAGCATTGTGGCTTTTTGTTTTTATAGGTACTTTAAGACAACAACAGGCACATATTGACTGCTGGGACACAGAGCAAGCTCGCAAGCCACACTGCAACCAAAATCTCCATTTGCAGGGGAAGGGAGGAAGTGTTTGGGATGCTCAGCCATAAATGGCTGCTCGGAAGCCACGGGTGTAAATCCCTGCTGCTCCTTGGTCAGCAGGAGAGCCAACATTTCCATGTGCTCCTCCATCCCTCACCTGGCTCTTCCCGCGCCGCCGGTAATTCCTTCTCACGAGGTTCTTGTAGTTCTCATTCTTCTTGGTCAGGTAGTAGTACAACACGCAGTCCGCCACCGTCTGCAAGGACACAGGCGAGTTAGGGAGCAGAGCACACGGGTCCCTCGCACCGCGAGCAGCGATATTCAGCCCTGCGATCGTCACATCGGTAGCTTCTGAAAATCTGGGGTAAAACGTGTTTCTCTTTGGCACAGACTCACCAGAGCGGTGCAAAGCACGAGTGAAAAGCCCCGCACGGGGCAGTTGCTCTGGGGAGGGACGGAGCCGGTGCTGGGCAGGGTGTCCCGCTCAGGGGCTCCGCGGGTGCTCGGGCTGCTCTCCCCCTCCTCTGCCAAGAGCAGGGCCACTCACAAACCAGATTGTGACTTTTAAAGCATTAATTGGATTGCTTTCCAATCTAGCCCTGATTATACACACACATACACACAAACACAAAAACTTACAGTCATCTGTTCCAAGGGCTAAGATCACTATTTTTTTTATACTGCAATTTAAAAATCTATTAATTCATTACATCGAGCCATACTTTGCATCTCTCTCCAACAGGATAATGGATGTGTTCTGTATCATAATTACAGCCTGATTTACAAACGAGTACAAATAAAATTAGAAGACATTTTACAGCTTGGAACACAGGGTGGATTGTGAGCATCATCCAAGTCCCACCACTTTCGGCTTTAACTAGTGGGAAAAGGCTGAAAACAGCCTGGTGTCTTAGAGCACGTTGCATTAGATCTCGGCTGCCTTGCTGGCTGCCTGCTGCTTCCAATAGGGAAGTCCAGCTCTCACAAATGAGCTTCCCAGGCGGGTCAGGCACAATCAGAGCATAATTTAGGCTGGAAGGGACCTCTGGAGGCCACCAGGTCCTCAAAGCCAAGGGGGATCTCCCAGGCTGAACAGATATTGCATCCCAGATACTACTGAAGGCTCGGGAGCCAAAAGCTGCTCAGATAAGTGCCCCCACACTCAGGCTGGCTACGTGTCTACCCACTCCCAGGCAACAGCTCAGAGAGCTCCAGATTTCCACCCTTTCTTCCAACCCTGCTGTAAGACTCAAAGAAATCCCCTTTTCTTCTGAAGGAAGCCCATCTCTCCTGGGAAATGCACTGTGATACAATGGCAAAATGCTGCAAGGGGTGGGCGAAGGCTATAACCAACTTCCGAGAAACAGAGGACAGCAGCTCCCAAGCATTTCTTCCTCAAGATCCACCTCTCTGGGCTTCCAGGCCAAGTCCATCCACCCACATGGCCTGTCCTGTGGAAGTTACCTGGCCTGGATCAGGACCAGACCAAGACTCCCTGCTCCTGCAGGTCTCACCTCACCCTTTCTCCCATCAACTCAGCTGGCAGCAAAGAGGGAAATGCTGTCAATAACAGGTGGGTAAGTTCAAGCCCTCGCTAATGAACCGTTCCCCAAAAACTAGCATCAGATTCCGCTTTCAGGATATTCAGAAGGGGTGTTGGTGTGTCTGTCCCCATGGAACCAATGTGCCGGGCTGGCCTAGTCGGGATTTGCCCCATTGTTGCGCTGGGGGAGCTGCTCTGCAGGTGGGTGGAAGCAGCTTCCCCAATCCCGGCAGCTCCATGCGCAGCAGCCCCATCGGCAGCAGCAGCTTCCCAGGCGCTGGATGCTGGATCCTCCCGGGGTGCTGAGCTCCCTGCAGAGCTGGGGCAGCGGGGACGTGCCCAGGCCCTGCCCGGGCCACCCCGTTACCACCTCCCCGGGCGCTGGGGCTGCCGGATGCCCCGGCACGAGGCAGCGCTCGCCTCCGGCCTTACCTTCCTGTCCAGGAAGGACGCGATGAGGCCGAAGTTCTTCGGGTGCTGCATGAACCTGTGGGAGAAGGACGGAGAGCGTCAGTGTGGCCGGGACCGAGCTCGCCGGTGCAGAGCGGCCGGCTCCTCTAGGGACCCGCGGGTTTGAGAAATGCGTGTCTGCTAACCCGCTTCCCAGGACGCCGCGAACTTTAAATTTAGACCCGCAGGGTTTGGCTGATGGGCTGGGTGGGAGAGGGCAGCAGGGGCCAAGGGCTCCCAACAGCTCCCTCCGTCACCCCGCTCCATCCCACGGTCACCACTGCCGCCCGAGCCCTGGCAGCCCATCCCGACGGACAGGAGGCTGAATATCCCGCTGGGCCTTGGGAATGCCAAACGCATTGGGAGGAAAAAAAAAAAAAAAAAAAAGGCT